CCAGGTTTGTGGGTGTCTCTGTCTCCTCCAAAGTGGGGACAACGTTAACTCCTAGCTGAGAAAAACCTGCTCAGGGACATAGTTTCCTCCCTGTCCCCCCAGCTGCCCAGCCTGCAGTGGAAAGGTCATTGAGAGAGCACTAAGAGCGTGGCTACCAGATAGCACACAGCCAGTTGCCCACATCCCAACACCTGAGTCCATCCCAGCTCTGCCTTCAGGGGCAGCACGTGCTGGGAGACCTTAGCCTTTGGAATGGGAGTCTGTAGGAGAGCAAAAAATGCTGCTGCTGGCGTGGAGACCATGACCTGCCTCATCACACCCAAGATTTTTGGCCAGCCAAGCAGGTCTACACTGAGCTCCACAGGTTGCACAAGCCTGGTCCAGTGCAGCAGCGTTCTGCCTCCTGTGTCCTCTGTCCCCACCTGGCAGAGCTGCTCATCTGCAGGTGCCTCCCAGGCAGCCAGAGCCAGCTGCTTGACCTGTGCTACACCTTGCTTCCCAGGCTGAAGTTTGAGGTGCTGTGCTCTCTACTCTCTCTGCAGTAAAAGAGAAGCTACGCTTGGACCCCGACAGTGAAATCGCCACGACGGGCGTTCGTGTCTCACTCATCTGCCCGGTAAGTCTGTGCCTTGTAGAGAAGCCCCATCCTGCTGCCAGACCAGCCTGGCCACCTAACCACCCTTTTGTGCAGGAAGAGAACCACCTTGGGGATAGCTTGATGAGGGGCTTTGCTTGCTGATCTTCTGCTCTTTGGTTCAACAGCTAGTGAAGATGAGGCTGTCTGTGCCGTGCCGGGCAGAGACCTGCGCCCATCTGCAGTGCTTTGACGCCGTCTTCTACCTACAGATGAATGAGAAAAAACCCACCTGGATGTGCCCTGTGTGTGACAAACCTGCACCCTACGACCAGCTCATCATTGATGGGTGAGTGCCTCCCCTTCTGTGTCCCAACCCCTTTCTCTTCTCTGCTGGGCGTGGCATCTGGTCTAGGTTTTTTTTTTGGCCCTTTGGTCTGCGCGTCTGAAGTTCACCTCAAGAAGTTGGGGGCTTATTCTGCTGGTGGATAATATTCTGCTTTAATTGCCTTGGTGTGTTGGGGCAGTGCTTGAGGGCTCATCTGCTGATCTTCCCTTCTGGGTTACCCTGAAATGTTTTGAGAACTGAGCATTTACTGCCCCCCTCTTTTCAGCACGCTGATGGACCCGCACGAGCAGCCACCTTTGGCTGGCTGGTCTCCTGCTGCGTGGAATGAACCACTTTATAAACACCCAATAAGGTGATTTCTGATAGGAGACCTCTTCCTGTTCTCTCCCTGGGGCGAGGTGCTCCTCAGCTCACCAGTTCTTTGCACGCTGTGGGTGTGACTGGGGGATCTGCTCGGGCAGCTGACAAACCCAACGTCCTGCCCCTGAGCTAGAGGCACAAGTGCAGCATTTGGGAAGATCTCTGCACGATCTCTGTGACTGCTGCAGTGCAAGTTCCGTGGCCTTGCTGAATATCTCAGTGTCAGGGAGGGGATGGATCCCTCAGCAGATGCTGTTTCTGTGGTTTGCTCACCTAGAGGGGAGAAAAGCAGCAGGTTTGGGTGTGCTGGATGAACAGTTAAAATGCTTTGGATATATTGTCCAGGCTGGAGGCTTTGTGGATCTGCCCAGTCCCCCTGGGCCTCCCACCCTGCTTCCCCTGGGGACACGCAGCAGTGGCTGATCCCTGCTGGCAGGCTGAGCCTGTGCAGCAGGACCTTGGGGTGCTCAGGGGGGCCCAGGGGCTCCCTGCTGGGGGTGACCAGCCCCTGTGGCGTGGGAGACAACACTGGTGCCCTTGTCAGGGAAGTGGGCTGTGCTGGGAGGGAACTGGCTTTTGGTGCAGTGCTTCTAGAGCAGGTTTGTGCAGGGCAGACCGTGAAGTGTTGCCCCAGCCACACCAGCACCCCCATTCTGGGTGCTCCCAGCAAGGCAGCCCCCATGCACCAGGGATCTGCTCTTTCTCCTGCCTCATTTGGGTTGTGGCATGGCTGGAGTTGGGCTCTAAAAGCACGGGAGTGAATTAAAGCAAAATAAATTCCAAGCAGCATTTGGAAAAGGGTGAGGCAAGAAGTGCATGCCCCGAGCCCTGCCAAGAGTTCTGCAGCCATGGGGAGAGGTTGCTGTAGACTCAGCACTCGACTTGTCAGCAGGTTTTCAGTCCCTATGGGAACAGTGTTTCCAGTTTCTCTGGACTGAGAGTTGGTTTGCTCTGTCCTCTCACCAAATTGAAGAGCAGAGGGCTCACCCTGAGCTTGGAGAGCATTGCAGTCAGCAGTACAAGGACACTTTGGAGGGGATGCTGTTGTGTCTGGAGTGAGGTTTGATACTGGAAAGCTTAAAGTGCAGCTGTGTGCTAAGAGGATTCCTGTGAAACCCAGGAGATCTCCCTCTGCTCATTGCAGACCTGTGTGGAAACTGCAGAACGAGGTCAGCTGAGAGCAGGGCCCACCTAAGGCAGGCCAAAAATCTTGTCAGCTCCAGAAATACAGCTTCCAGAGGCCACCTCTGGAGAAGAGCACAATAAATTACCTGGCTCTTGTCCAGGAGTAAAGGACCTAGGAGGGAATTAAGCAAACAGTGATCCCCCCCTCCACCAGAAGCAGCTTTGTTGCCCCAAAACACGGGGAGCCTGTTTTAAGACCAGTGACATCTGCAGTGGTGCCAGCCAAGCTGAGAGCAGCCCTGAGGGCTGGTGGAGCAAGAGGCGTGGTGGAAAATGATCTCCACCCTCACAGCTTGTATAATGGGCCTCTGATGCAGGTTCCCTCAAAAGCAGGAAGAGTTTGGAGGAACTGTTGGGGTGCATCTGGCTCCCCTGGCACACAAGGCAGCCCAGGGAGCCGACAAGCCTCCTCCTGGGTGGTACCTTCCCAGAGCCAGGCTGATAAATCTGAGCACTGCTGCCCTGGTAGGTGCTGATGTGATCCAGGAGTTGGGGGTTTTTAGCCAGCCTGAAGCAGCCTTGGTGTAGATAACCTGTTTGCTTTGTCCTCTGGCCAACCCTGACAGGAAAATCCAGTTCCTTGGGGATCTCGTGCAGGGCTGCTGAGGCTGAAGGGGAAAGCAGAAGGGGTTGGGCTGTGGAACCTCTGCAGGTCAGCAACACACGTGTCCCTGCTGGGTGAAGAAGAGGAGGTCTCTGGTGAAGGCTTGGCAGATTTTTGTCCTTGGTCTGCAGTGCCCAAGGCTGGGTTTCAGTGCTGCCTTTGTTGGGTGAAGGTCTTCAGACCTCCCCAAACGTGAGCTGGAGGGAACCTGGCAGTCACCAGGGGATGCTTTTAGTCAAAAATCAGGGCATGGGCTGCCAAGGAAGTTCTTGGTTGGTGGAGCTGGAGATCTTCTGGGCCCTGTCAGTGTTTTGGAACTGCAGCCTGATAGCAGGACTGGCCATGGAGACAGGTTTCCTCCTGGAGCTGGGAGAACACAGAAACCTTCTCCCACTGCTGGGCCAGGATCAATTTTCTTGAGCTTGGAAGTGTTTTGCTGTCAGTTCTCCTTCACACAGGAGGGAAATGCTCAAGCCCAGGAGCAAATGATGCCTCACAGAACTCAGATTCCAAAGAAACAGGGAAATAAATGGTGGGATAAAATTCCCAGGGCACGGTGAGCTGGGGTAGGGGCCTTGTTCTGGTTCTTGTCTCTGCAACGAGGGGTGGCTGAGGTCGAGGTGCCCCACGGGCTCTGCTTTCCCTGGGGTTTTCTGTCACAGGAGGTGACAGCCTCTGTTGCTTTGGTGGCTGCTGTTGGAGGCTCTGGGGAGTCAGACCAGGACACAGCTTCGTGGGCTGCTCACTCCCTGATGTCATTGGATATTTGGTATTTTGCCTTTTTCTGCCCACCTTGGTGTGAAGGGACCTGCAGCAGCCCTGGCCCAGCCCAAGATGGGGCATCAGACCTGGGAAACTGGGTGAAGAGGCAAGATTGCCTTCTAACTGCACGTCATTAAAACATTAGATGACAGGAATGTTGTCAGAAAGGATGGGGATGGTTTGTGCTGCCAGAACCTGTGCTGGGTGTTTGGGAAATAAAACAAATCCTTGAGTGCAAGGGCTGTCTGCTCAGCAGCCTCCTAGCACCAAACTTCTTCTGGATTCAGGGCTGTTGGAGGTGAAGACCCAAGCTGATGGCCCTTCACTAAGTGCATTCTGCTGGTTGCCTCAAGCTTAACAGATGGGATCTTTCCTCCTGTCCAGGCTGCTGTCAAAGATCCTGACAGAATGTGAAGATGCAGATGAAATTGAGTACCTGGTGGACGGCTCCTGGTGTCCCATCAGAGCTGAGAAGGAGAGGAGCTGCAGCCCACAGTGCCCCATACTAGTTCTAGGTGAGCATCTTGGGGGTGAAGGGCTTCAAATTCCTGCAGGAAATGTGAGGAATTCCTCAGAATGGCACCAAACAGGTGCCTGCAGTGATGACCCCTGAAATGTCATGGGCAAGAGGTGCCCAGCCCAGGCCAGTGCTGTTTTTGGGGGCAAAGAGGGTTGGCACTGGAAGGGCCAGTCCCCAGCAGCAGGGTGGCCACGGGGGGGTTGGCACTGCCCTTGTGTAGCTGCTTGCTTTGGCCAAGCCAGTTATGGAGTCCTGGAATCATGGACTGGTTTGGGTTGGAAGGACCTTTAAAGTTCATCTTGTCCAACCCCCTGCAGGGAGCAGGGACATCCCCAGCTAGAGCAGGGTGCTCAGAGCTTGGTCCAACCTCCCCTGGGATGGTTCCAGGGATGGGGCAGCGACCACCTCTCTGGGCAGCCTGGGCCAGGGGCTCTGGCACCTTCTCAGGAGAGTTCTTATCTTCAAGTAGAACCTCCTGGGTTCCAGTTTGTGCCCGTTGCCCCTTGTCCTGTTGTTGGGCACCACTGAGAAGAATCTGGCCTCATCCTCTTGCCCCCTACTCCTTAGCTGTTGATAGCACTGATCAGATCCCCTCTGAGGCTTCTCCAGCTGAACAGCCCCAGGGCTCTCAGCCTGTCCTGGCACAGAGATGCTCCAGTGCCCTCATCTTCCTCAAATCTTGTCATCCTCATCCTCACCACATCATTGGCAAAGCAGCTGTAGGAGACCACTGCTGGTGAAAGCGAGGTGCAGATGGCTGGGCAGAGGGCACCTGCAAAAGGCTTTATGCTGGCCACATCTTCACACACCCCAGGAGACCTTTGACATCCTTGACAACAAGAGCACCAGAGTGTGAGAGCTTCCCCTGCGCTGGGCACGACCTTCCTTAGACCTCTCCCCTCCCCTGGCAGGTTCCTCAGAGGTGAACGGGCTCCTGCCCACCCCCAACGGGAACGGCGAGAACGGCAAGGCCCCCGCCGACGTGGTGGATCTGACACTGGACAGCTCGTCCTCGGAGGAGGAGGAGGAGGAAGATGAGGAAGAAGACGACGACGAGGAGGGACCCCAACCAAAACGCCGCTGCCCTTACGAGAAAGGTTTAGTCCCTGCCTGCTGACTGGGGACACGGCTCTGACCTCAGAACGGACAGACTTGAATACTCTGGTGCTTACAGAACTGGAGGAGGGGGAGAACGTCCTCTCCCACCTCATCTCCCTCCCTCCCTCATCTCCTTTGACTTTCCTGTTCCAAATTAATCGTTAAAACAAGCGGGGGAAAAAAAAAAAATCCAAAAAAAAAAAA